GCAAAAAGTAACACTGAATAAACAAAATACATGTAAAATTTTAATTCGCTAACTCTCTGTCAAGCTCAGTGGAGGGTTGATCAAAGTGTCCAGAGTACGTGGGGTGCCATGGAGGAGTGGAGCTGGAAAACCAGGAATCAAACAAGCAAACATGCAGAGCTGCTCTCGCTCGGCATTGCTCTGTAAAGCCTGCATCCATAACAGAAACAACCTCACACCCTCTCGACGAATCTGCATGACAAGACAAATAGTGGAAAGGTGAAGAAATCTTTACAAAAAATTAAAAAATAAATAAATCACAGAATCCTGAGCACTGTACCTTCAGAGAGTTTCCAGTATGCAGTAGTTTTTTGAGGATGAGTCCTAAATGACAAGGTTAATTATAAGAAATTTTTTGTATGTGGGTAGTAGATGGTTGTAAAATTACACAGCAGGATTGAATACTTGTTTATTATTGTTAAACTTTTAAATTAGTTAAAATATCTTGTGCTTGTTACCTATGCTGTGGAACTGCCATCTGTTCTGGATTCTCTCAGGAAGAAGTTGAAGGATTTTCTAAAATAATATAATAATAATAATTTGTGAATCTAAAAACAGTGTGCAACATTAAAGTTAGAAATGAAAGAAAGATGAGCGAGCTCTGATATCTTATCAAGGTTTCAGTGCCTACATTCTGGAGCTGAATGCCACACATTTTATTAGTCTAAGGTCAATCTTTGACAATGTTATGTTAAACATTGAAAGTCTGAAACCACATAAGGTCTTAAGTTTTAATTACCTCAAAGATGAAGAGAATAGAGTCTAGCTCTTCCCTCTGTGACTTGTGACCTGAAACAAAAGATTATGTTTAAGAAAGTCCATTGTTTTTTCACTTCTCAGATTTGACAAATAAAGCTTACCTTTTTGTTTAAGGCTCACTTCTATGGTTACAAAGTTTTCAAAGAATACATAGTAGATATGCGAGTAGTTCACATCAAAGAAATGCTTCAAATCTGATGCGTCAGCGTTTTCTGAAAAGTGAGAAAAAGGTTATAAACAAAATAATAAATTGGTTCTATACTGGTTTTGGGGCTACTCAGAATCGCTTTTCACTTAATGATTAATTATTCACTCAATCTTCACACTATAATGTTGGTAACCCACAACTGCCATAGACATGGCTGTCATTCTCTGTAGAATCAGACAATCATATGTAGGCAAGGTGGGTGTCAGTTACATGACCATTGTTAAATACTGTGATATGCTCACAATGTATGTTTATTTCTTCTAATATTTTTTTGATTTCCATTACATTTATGCAGTTTTGTGTATTGTGTTCCAAGTTGCAATCATACACATTTGACTCAACAATATAGGAAGTAAATATAGGAAGTAAACACTTGTAAAGTTCTGCTAAATGTGGGACATTAAAGGAACTATATGTAAGATGTTGTTGATTTTACATTCCATAAACATGACCCAACTGTGTCCCTAAATAGTAGGTAGACATAGTCAAATAAAATATATAGCTCCTACAGTTGTAAAGCTAATGCTAGTATTTTCTGTTTGTTTACAGATTAAGGTTGGTTAATAAATGGTGTTTTTGTACTCTTGTCAAACATTAAGCATACTAATGTGTTTGTCTTTGTGATTGTCATCAATGTTTTTCCTCTAGAGCACTCACAGGAGGCACACCCCTGTCTGTCTGTGCAAGACTCACACATGAACTCTTTCCAGCAGCCCTAACAATAGCAACAGGAAGTGGTGCTACTGTACTGTACAGAGAGAGGAAATAGTAAACCTTTTCCCACTCTGTTCAGCAATAGGTCGAAGTAACAGTGGGGTTGGTAAGCCTTCCAACATCACCTGAGAAGCATGTTTATGATGTGTCACTAAACATACACAACATGGCAATTGTGCACTCCAGTCATTGTTATTATGACAGGAAGGGCATCTGATGCAAAGATCTACCAAATTACAATGTGGCTGTTCCACTGTGGTGATCCCTGATGAAGAAATGAGCAAGGAATTCACCTGCGTATAAATGGACATAGCAATTGATGACTTATTGAAAATAACTAGAAATGTCAGCTAAATACAACTTCCTCCATTACAACACTATTCACACATTTGTATGACCACATATTTTTTTTACAGTATTTTAGCAACACAGAAACCGTTGTGCTGTGGTGTAATCCTTCTCAAACCTTTGTCATGCCCAGGCTTATGTCTAATACAAAGACACACCCACAAGTGACACAAGTGATTAATTGACTGCAAAAATCATCATGAAAGGAAGCAAGCATATTATTATTATACAACATTTACATTATAACAAGGTTAGTTTATAAGTTATAGCTACTGAAATAGCTTACTACCGTAGCAGTCCATTAGACATAAAACAGTGATTGATAAGTAGCAAAAGATAAACAAGAGAGCAAATGCTGCATCAATTTAAAATGATTTATAATTGGACTGTGCCGATTTACAAATTCAGTTTGAATTTATCAGAACACCTTAAACCTTTTATGAAAAACACAAAACTGTATGAGCAGCCACTTAAAGGAATTTTGGTGATCGGTTGGCTCTCTGTACAGTCAAGCTAACCTGTTAGCTGTCAAAGATCTTTAACTTACCAATAACAATTCTTAGATGTTTCAGTCTTGTTAATACGTCCTTCTTTGGATCCAACACTTTCTGTGTTGATTTTTTGACATCTCCATGAGGCTTTTTGGAAAACATGCCTAAGGCAGAGAACCTAAGAAGACTGCGTTGGTAGACAGCAAGGAGGGGCTAGCAGATTGTAGCCACTTAAAACTGTTTCACCTAGAGGTAATCGTTGTGTTATGACTAAAAGGCTCTTTTCTAAAATTATATTAACGCATCGCTTCTATATGGCAGTTTCCCGTAGCCACTATAAATACATAAAATGATAATGTTTGTCGAATCAAGATCATTTTGTATATTATTTTGTATAGTCTGGCCAGAAATGTTGCGAGGTGGCCAAGCATCCATCCATTGCAGCCCCTCTCAAAACATTCCGCAGGCTGACTGCTAGTCGAGCATAGCTTTGCTGCTAACTTAACATCATGGCGGAAGAAGTGGGGAAACAAACAAAGTAATGGATAACAGAGACATTCAACGATAGCGGCCCTACCAAAGAGTCTATGGCCCCTACACAGTTCCACATTCTCCATAAACTGTTACATATTTTGCTGAACAGACTCTGTGCGCCTTCCTTACCATATAACAATTTAATTTGTGCATTTTGCATCTAAATAGGTCTATCGCGTGGAATGCTGGGTAACGTAGTTGTTAGTGATCAATCTACTAGTAAGGCCTTATAGTTCCAAAAACTACACTTCCTTAGCCAGGGAAGAGCGGCGAGATTTGTTTTTAGCTTAGCACAAGCGAGTCAATTGTGTAGTGCTGCTCCCGCTGAAAAATCGGCTTGATATTAATTCAGGTGGGTGCTCAGATAAGTTAATAAGCTGTTGCAATTACTATTGCATTTACTGTTTAAATGTTTCAGGATAAATCATACACAAAGCCAAATCCATCGTTAGCTCGATGTGTGGCACGCTCTGGGCTCCAGTGTTATCGTTTTTTGTTTCCCCTTTTTAGTTTTATTTTCGTCAAGAATTGAGTTGGATAATTGGTTCAGGTTTTTTTTTATAGTTTTGGCCTGATGAAAATGTAAAACTTTATCATTAACAACTGCTAATACACCCAACATGTTGAACGCAATATTCTTTATAGTACTGTGTCGTTTGTGCATTGTACATCTCTTCAACGTTTAACTAATATATGTAATTTTTTGTAGGTAACATGCCCGTCCATCGCGATCGTGAAAAGAAGGAAAATACGGCAGAAGAGATGGAAGTCGAAGAACATGAACATGAGGCGTCCAGTTCTGACGAAGACGATTCTGACACCTCGTCTGTCTCTGAAGATGGTGATAGCTCTGGTAAAATAGTGAACTTAATCATAGTGAACTTAATCATAGGACAAGACTCTCAAACGAATATTCTGTATCTCCTTTTGCATTTTTACAGAAATGGATGAAGAGGACTGTGAGAGAAGGCGGATGGAATGTTTGGATGAAATGTCAACTTTGGAAAAACAATTTACAGATCTCAAGGACCAGTAAGACTGAAACATAACATAGAATACGAAAAACCTTTTGAAGCTCATGAATGTTTTCCACAGGTTGTACCGGGAACGATTAAGCCAAATAAACAGCAAACTTTCTGAGGTAGAGGCTGGCAAGGCATCAGAGTACCTAGAGCCTCTTGCTGTATTGCTTGAAAACATGCAAGTCCGCACTAAAGTGGCAGGTAACTTAAATACATATTTATATTCAGGCAGAGTACTGTTACAGGCTCTGATGTATGTCTTTGCTATGGCATTTTGAAGGTATCTATAAAGAGTTATGTCTTGAATCTGTGAAGAACAAGTATGAATGCGAGATCCAAGCAGCAAGCCAACACTGGGAGGTAAATTACACAAGCATACAAAATGCATTGACTCACTTGACTTTATTTTTTATATTTTTCTTTCTGTACATAGAGTGAGAAGCTGCTACTGTTTGATACAGTGCAGAATGAACTGGAGGAAAAAATTAGAAGACTAGAAGAAGACCGGCACAGCATAGATATCACGTCAGGTACAGTAATACTGTTTTGGACATGTGCATTTATTGTAGGTGTAGGAGAATTTCTGAATGTGTTAGGATGAGGACCACCTTAGCAAGCAGTGGAAACTCTTTCAAAGATGACGAGAACATGTGAACTCTTTCTTAAAGCAAAAAGAAAAATTAATTTGATATAGGTTTAACTTAACTTTCTATTTCTTTCAGAACTCTGGAATGACGAATTGTCTGGACGGAAAAAAAGGCGTGATGCTTTAAGTCCAGACAAGAAGAGGAGACGGCCTTCAGTGGTGTCTGATATCCTTGTTTTATGGTGGTTGTTTACACTGCTTTTTCACACTGGGAACAGACATCTAAAGAATTTGTTGTGTGTTTTTTCTTAACTTGTTCACGTCCATATATAGTATACATGTTACCTGACTTGGACATTCTGGAGGACTGGACAGCTATCAGAAAGGTCTGCACAATGGATTTTGTCTTCTTTTGTTAAGTTTGTTGTGTTTAAGTGTCTGTATCTACATTGTCTATTAGGCTGTGGCCACCCTTGGGCCCCACCGAGGAAAGAATGACCATGACAGCTCCGTGTTCCCACTCAGACCAGACAGAAACAGACCTATACTCAACTGCTGAAGCATCTATCTGTCTATGAATGTCCATGACAAAGAGACAACTACAATCAATGTCCCCACAACACAGACTATAGCTCATTTGTACGCAGGGATTTATTTGTTCAGGTTGCAACGATTGAATTATATATATTTTTTAAATTAAGTCAAATTTATTACCTGAAAATTGCTGTTAAATGTTGCATTTTTACATATCCACATTTAATTTAGTATATAATATATGCGGATGGATTTGTGGTGGTGGTTTTGGAGTGTTCAGCTTCTGAAATGATACATAAGTGCACATATGTGCTTTTACAATCAGGTGTTATTAGTTTGAAAATAACTTAAAAAAAAATATGATATACACAGAATGATGCCAGCCACTAAGTATTATAACGATCTACCTCCTATCCGCAAAGAAGCTTCCACTCATATTGCTCACTTGGCAATTGGTATTTTATAGAAATTGTTCTTTGTAACTCTTGAGTATACAAATGTTTTCTAAATGTTTTTTTTTTTTTTCACTTTTTCAATTTAAGTTTTGTAATGTTATGTAGTATTCAATGTTGATTCACTCGATCTGTTTATTGTACAAAGTAAGTCTGCCTATTCAGTCTCTTGTTTTATTTGTTTGCAAATACATTTTTTTTCATAAAGAATACTTCTGATATAGTAGTTAAGAAAATAGTTAAAAAATTATCTTTACATGCCATTTTCTGGGTCAACCTTTCAGGACCAATGACTGCATCACTTCTACATCTTGAGCTAGGCTTGGTCAGGACTATCTTTGTTGGAAATTTGTACTCATAGTGTGTACGAGTACTCTTCTAAGTAATATATAGACCTTAAATGTAATGCCATTTTACACCTAATATAGTATATATAGAGAAGAAAGTGAAACCATGCCTTCTCATTTCTATATCCTTCAAGTAACTAGAAAAAAAGCTACCAAGTTTACCAAGAAAGAAAAAGTTGACTCCCTTAATTGAAAGAGATGCCACACCTCAGGGGGCTATCCTTAAGTTACCTGGTCAGGCAAACCACATGCTGTATTTGAACAGAATGACTAGTTCAGTTCATGTGTCAAACTTTAAGAAACTTGATGTAGCTTATATCCTATTATGCTGGTGGTGTAGTTTAGTTAGTCATACATACACACTAAATTTTAAAATTGAAGTCTTTATCTTTCATATTCTTTATTAATTTATTTTTTTATTTTTTACAAAATTCACAAATAAAGGTTTTTCTCTCAAAAAAATCAGATCCTGTTTTAGTAATTACTGCGAGAGCTATAGCTATAGCTTTTAAGCATATGACATTAATGTAACAAGATGACCCATGTTAAACAACAAAGGCAAACTCATGCTATGCTAAAACATGGCATTTTGTTTTAGTTAATACTTCCTTAAAATGTCCTATTTGGAAATTTAAAATGAGGGACCATGTCTCAGACCACATTCAATACAAAGTTTCTTTAAAATACAAAATAAAACCATCTTTCATTGACCCACAGATCAATATACATGTCCAATAGTGAAATGCCATCCAAAGTCCTTTTTATAATGTAATGCAGCCCTTCCACTTAACTTACAGCTAAAAGGCAAATAAGAGGACATAATCAATGTAAATCAAATTGGGGAATAATTTAGCAACATACAGAGTAAAACCTGTTCATTTTATTCTTAGAAACGATTCAAATTATATCTTGAGGGGACTGTGTGCGCTCTTCTGATGACTGCCTCTGTGTCGGAGCAAGGGGAGGTGGTTGAGGAGGGGCTATGGATGGAAGAGGATGGCCATCAGGTGCAGGGGGTCGCATAGGAGGGCCGCTGTATGGGCCCATGTTCGGTGGAGGTGGTCCTTCAGGAGGGAAACGAGGAGGGTACATCATCCCAGGGGGTGGTGGAGGGCCCCACACTAGAAAGACAGAACAATGGCATCATGATAAGAATTCAGCATGTGCATCGTAGAAAAACATAAACCACAAACTTGGCATAGGGGGCCCGCCCGGTCCTCTTGGCAGGTAATACTCTGGGGGTGGAGGACCATAAGGTGCTCTACGAGGAAAGGGACCATCCATTGGCCCCATCAGAGGCCCTGGAGGTGGCATGCCTCCCATTCGCAGATCTGCCTCAGGAGGAGTCCTTCTTTCACCAGGACCTGCCTGTATTAGTCATAAATATGTGTTTTAATAACATTAGAAAGACATTAAATTAATAAATATATAGGTACCATCATTGGACACAGACCTCTCTGAGATCATGTTCAGCAGGTCCCAAGCTGTTTTCTCTATAAGGCCCATCTGCAATGCAATATGTGTGTAGTTTTAAAATGAGTTCAACAGCAATTTTTGAAGTAGTATAATGATTATAATGATGGCACTCACCTGCCATGTCTAAAGGTGGTCCTGGTGGTCTGACACCCCTGGGTGGGAGGAGTCCAGGGGTAGGATGAGGGCCCATTGGTCCTGGTGGTGGTCTTCTATACATGGGCCCTCCTGGTTCAGGGAAAATGTAACCTGCAAAGCAAGTTAAAGTTTTCCAGTGATTTTTCTTTAATTACCAAAATCTCTTGGCATAAATGTTTTCAAATGCAGTAAATGCAATGCAAAACATGCAACTGCACATTTACTACTGTCATTAAATAGTCCTTTGCAAATAGGCACTCATACAATGCATTTATAAAGTTGTTTTAACACCAACAATTATCACAACACATGCCAAACAAGCATTTAGTAGTATAAGTTCTTCAAGAAAAAATTTCGTAAGGTATGACGTAGGTATGTTGTTTCCAGGACTTACCTGGTGGGGCCATGGGGCCTGGGGGCCCAGGCAGGGGCCCTGACATGGGCCCTGGTGGGGGTCCCCTACGATCCCTCTCCCATGTGGGGGAGATTGAACCACTGTCTGAATGAGAACCTCCAGGCCGCTCTGTATCCCCTGGTCCAAGCAGAGGCTCTAATGGACCGCGCATTACTAAGGAGGAGTGAAAAGAAATATTATACAAAAAACACAATACATGCAATGCAGTGCATTAATGCAGCGCATAATCACTCAAATGCACGCCTGTCCTTAAAATTAACCTAGTTCAACCATGCAATGTGACATGCTTTTCTATATTTATAATCGTAATAGTCACCTCTTGGAGATAATCTGTTTGGTGGACCATCCATCAGCGTTGGAGGAGAAAGAAAGGCTCTAGTTTCAGAAGCAGGCCGGCCAAGTGGAGACGCCCCATAAGGAGATCTTTCAGCTAATGTAAATACAAAGCATAATAATGAAGATCCTAATCTTGACATATTTGACATTAAGACTATGAAAACTATGAATATGAATACAGCAATCTCAACAGTACCCCTAAACGGCAATGGCCTGGCCAGGCTATCCAAAGCATATGGATCTTTTTCAATGGCTTCTAATTTGAATTGTGTGTCTGTAAGTCTGTGGTCAGATTGAAGAAAAACATAATTTTATTGTTAATGAAAATGTCTGTTAAGTAAAAATCTTAAAATAAAATCAAGACTTGCTTTTGTCTGAGAAGAGCATTCTCTCTTCTGATGTCTGCAAGTTCTCTTTCTGCTGATCTGGCAGCCAACTGAAAAAAATGTTTTTGCAACACATTTAATTAAAAACATACACATTTATTAATATAGTTCATTTGTGTAATTTGCTCAAATAAAAATGGCAAATACATGCATGTTTCTTAGTCTTGCACTGAATTTACCCAGTTATTGTGAGCCTTCTTTTCATGTGATGATATTTGAGTCTGATACGACTGTTTAGTTTTCTCAAGCTCTTCCTCCATCTCTTCTGCTCGTTGTCTAAAAATAAAAATTTATATTTACATGAAGGTTGCCTGAGCACTTATTTAACTATGACTTACAGGTATTCAGAGCTATCATACCTATAATTATTAAGTTCCTCCATCGCCATCGCTATATTCTTATCAGCTTTGGTCAGCTTCTCTTCCTTCTGCAGACGTTCTTTTTCCTCAACGGTCAGCAGTCTACAAACCAAAATTAAATATGTTTTTCATGTTGTGGATTCCTGATTGTTTTATGTTGTGTAAATATACCTATGCAGCTTTAGTTCATTTTCCTGATACATTTCTGTCATAATCTGAAGCTTCTGTTGCAGTAGTTGCACCTTAAGAAAAACATAATATTAAATAAAAAAAATAAAAAAAAGAATAAACACAATTCTACTTTAGCAAGTTACCTGATCAGTGTAGTGCTTAGAGTCAGACTGTAGCGATAATTTCTCACTTTCCAAATCTTTTATGCTTTCTAACACAGTAAATATAAATGAGTAAGGTGCACACAGAGACCAATTTTATACCAAATTACAACACAAGTGTCAGTTCTTTCAGTCACCTTGAAGATCATCCTTTGCTTTAACTTCATCATTTAACTTGGCAAAAATGCGGTCCTTGTCTTCATCTACTGATTTGAGGTCTGCATTTAACTAAAATAAATGAAAGAAAAACACTGTGTTAATTACAAAGAAATAGTGACTTCATTGCAATGCTGACTCTTTCAAACTTGTATTTACCTTAGCGGCATGAATGAGTTTTTGGACTTTTTGGAGATGCCCCTGTGGACCTGTAATATTTCGTTTTCCATTGGTCTCTTTACATCCTGCAGGTCCATTTAAAGTTTCTTCCTCTTCAGCTCCTTGTTCCTCCTCAAGGTCTGAATCCCATGCTTTCATTTGCAGCAGCCGATCTGTCAAAGACTATTACAGAAAGGGCAAATAAGGTATTAATACTACTTATCAATAAAGCAGACTACTTTTCTGATAAGTACCGTTATGCGTTCATCCTTTGTGGCAACATCTTGCAGCATTCCACTATGCGAATGTTCACACCTTCTCATCTCTTGTTCTAATTCACTCACTCGTTCTGCCCAACCTTCCAACTGTTGGCGCAACTACAAAAGAAAAAACACAAATTTAACATTTACAGTCAGCTAGAGCTGAAATGTTATCATTAAGTGACTGGTCTTACATGTGTGTTGTTCTCCTGTAGCAAGGCATTCTCCTCCCCAGCTGTCTCCAGGTTCCTCTGTAGTCTGTCACTGTTCATACTATACACTTTAAGAGTGGTTTGTGCCTACAAAGTTGGGTTTTATATATTTTTATATAATTTCTATATATTGTGATAAATAAAATAGTACACGTGTAAAATTTATAAAATAAAAGTGCAATGGACAAAATAAGAGCTAGAATTACCTGTTCATCTTGTGACTGGAACATTTTAGTTTCCTCTTCAGAAGTTTTAATACTGTCTTCCAGAGCCATTATCTGAGAATTACAAAAAATATATGCTGTTGAAATTCATAAACAATACTGGTGATTTATCCAATCACCAAAAAAAATCAATCAAATTAAATCCAAGTGCATAAAAAAGCGGTTACCCTCTGTTCTTGTTCTAGCCTGTGTTCTCGTTGTTGATTCAACTGGACCTTCAGTTGTTCAAGATCATTCTCAAACTCTCTTTTAGTATGTTCCAACTGTTTGGCTTTGGCCTAAAAAGAGCATTCCAATTAAACTAGAGAGTAAAATTATCACTTTATACATTACTGAATAAAGTAAACAACTGACATGAGACAACAGTCATCAAAGTAATGACAAAGAGGCCTTACCTCCAGCTGTATAGTCCTTTGAGTTTGGGCTAAGACACCACTGTCTCTGAGTGAATTCTCTACTTCATTAAACTGCAAGTGTTATACAAGATAAATACTTTAATTTAACTTAAACATTTAACTAGATTAAACAAATGTAAATAAATGTACCTCTTGTTGAACTTTACTCAAGGTCTCAAGAACCTTGCACTTCTCATCTAGTAGTTCTGCAACTTGTTCAGCCATCCGCCGTTCTTTACCTACAAGAGGAAAAAAGACATTGAAGTAAAGACGAAGTAAAGACAAAGTAAAAACAAAATAAAGACAAAGTAAAATGAAGTAAAATGATTGAATACATGAATTATTCTTTGTATTTGTTTTCAGTGACAAAGTCAATACAAAAATATATAAGTTAACAAAACACTTACTTCGATACATTCTGCTTTTGACCTGAATAAAAAGAAAACAGAATATATATTATTAAAAAAGTCATACACATTCTGATGTTTTGCTGATTTTGCAAAAATACTTACAGAACTATAACATCTACAGACAAAAATTAATATTGTGATTAGTCCCACCAGGCCAGATATAATGACTGGTTCCCATGGTACTCCATAGAGATCTGGCCCAGGTCTTATATCATCAGGCAGAGCAGATACAACCTGAAAACACAGAACAAAAGAAAATGTTGTTTACATAGAAGCAGGATGTAATCATTTCTTAGACAGGGCTGAACATGGCTCAAGTAGGTTAGTTTAACTTAATGAAAAGGAGATTTTATTTACAATTCAATACAAATCAGTAAGATGAGATATTTTACGAAAGAAGACTCAACATAGCACTAGTTGTACCATTTCAGTGCGGGATTGCTTACATAAACAGAACAAAACCAGAACAAAACCAGAGAAATGGAAAAGACAACCCTGAAAGGATTACAGGTACATGGACCCAACTGAAGTTGTACATCTACAAAACAACTGTTATAGGCAAAACAATAGTAGAACCACAGGGTCTTCTTGTCCATGTAGCATCACGGCTGACAACCAACCAGCTGGTCAAAACTGACATGACACAAATCTAAAGCGCGCATACAGTACAACCAAAGAAGAAACTAAGGAAATTAATAATGCCAACGAGAAAATAATAATAATAATAATAATAATAATAATAATAATAAACTATGTATGTAACCTAATCTTATGCTAAAATACATGCCACAGTTCTCCTACGTACATCCTTCACTTTCTCTACGGCAATGCTGTAGTAAGCCTCAGCCGTCGCCTGAAACGCCGTCGCTTTGTTGACAAGTTGTTCACTTGCTGGAAGATCCGCCATGTTAGCAACTTTTTAGCTGATGATACTTTTAAGAATCTTCTCGTTCTCTATCATAATGGTGTAAGAAATAATGAAGCCATAGCCATAGCCGGCTAGCGGCGACCTCTCATCCTTTTCACAACACTGACGCTCCAGTAGTGAACACATCCTGTCGAAACATCATAGGGGTGGCCTAAAGCAAAAACTACTACCAATATGCTTTATTAGCATTGCTTGGGTTTTTATAAAGTTACCACATGTATTTTAGACCCACCAACGCAACAGTAGCAGAACTATTCTGACAAAGCTGTTTTTAAGCTTTACTATAGTTGACAAACTATAGTACTACAACCCCCGTTTGGAAATGGTACAATCTTTACGTCACGAATGGTGGTGATTGCCACACTGCCACGGAGCGATTTGTGACACCACTAACATAAGCAGGTGTTGAACATTATATGAAGTAGTTATACCAGTGATTTCTTTTGTACATGTAATCAGCTGTTATAATGCCATTGTTAAGGGTATCATAAAACGTTATTTGGGTTTAACAGCCAGCTGTGGCCAAGGGCTCCAAACAAACATGGGTTACAGAAAGTTTAGTCCAAGTTCATAACTAGTAGGCCTAATTTTGCCAATGTTCAATATATGGCTGCACTTACCAATACAGGTTCAATCTCATCCATGGCGGCACACAGATAACTCAACTCCACTCAAAACTTGGAATACAGCCTAGCCCCAGAATCTCTTGCCAAGTGGCTTGACTTGTAGCCTACAGTGTAAGATCATACTGCCAGCCTGAGCAAGGAATGTCACCGATGTTATGAAGGAGCCTGCTTGACAACTGACATGTGAAAGTCTCCAGCCAATAACTTGCAGTACAATTACTTAAAGAAGTACTCCACTGATACAAATCTAATATTATGCATGTATATACATCATATGACACATTTTTGAGTATCTTTACCTGCAGAGTAAACCAGGTGATGAGTTCCCATGTAGCACGAGTTTGTGTCAGAGCATCTGTAGCCATCTTGTCAAGGACGTCCAAAATCTTGTTAGGCATTCCTTAAGAGATATATGCAGTTTCAAACTGTTTATATGAAGTATTGTTAACAAAACAGAACAGATTTTACCTTCCATATCATGGCTTTGGTCTTCTGCTTGGATTTCTCCTGTATCATGCATTTCCTCCAAGATTTCATTATTTATTTCTTTGTCCTTATCTTGTTCTGCAACAGAAAAAAAACAACTTTTTTTTTTTTTTTTTTTATAAAAACGGGGATACATAAAAAATGTAGACCTATATGACAAAAATGAATAAAACCATACCTTGCTCACTGTTGACAGTGTCAGTTTTGATCATATTAAATTGCTCTTTTACTTTTTCTAAAACAATTTCTAGTTTCTGCAGAGCAATGAAGGTTCTGTTTTTCTCCTTATCCTCTTGAACAGCACTATCACTTCTAACACTAGGAGTCATCAATGTTTCCATGTGGTAACTCAAAAGTCTTTCTATATCCAACAATATGGATAGATCAGCCTCATGTTCACCAGTCGCTGTGTCAAGACCGCCCAAAATATAATCCAGAAACTGCATCTTATGTTCACCAAAACTGTGTATTAGAATCACTACCTCATCTGCATTCATATAGGTAAGAATATTGCTATAAAACTTGTGTAGTATTTTTGGACTGAGAGTGGTTGCTCTGGGGCTTTGTGAAATAGTGGTCTGTGTTGATGGAAAGATTGTTGAATCATCTTTTGAATCATTTACAAGTGTGAGATCTTCTGCCACCTTACTACTACTAATACTGACTTGTGGCTCATCTACTGTTGTCTCTACAGTAGGTTCACTATTGACTGGACTAGTGACATTTTTGTTATTACTATCTGAAGTTACTGTGGGTTCATCTTCTGTTTCCTCTTCCACCTTATTGTTACCACTGCTGTTATCAGTCTCTATATTATGTCTGTTATTAAGTTCATCTATGTGTATGTCAACATCATCACTTATATTTACTAATTTGTCGCTATACTCTTGCTTAACATTCAAATCAGCAGTTTGTTCATCTAGTTCAGTAGCTTTTGATAGATCAAATACTGACTCATTTTTATCTTCATAAACATTTTCTAGGCTACTCTCCTTGCTATTTATGGAGACTTGATCATTGTTGGACACAATTTCTTGTAGTTCCTCGAGACTCAAGTTATGCACATTCTCTTCAATATTAATATTTTCTTCCACTGCAGGTTGTTGCATGTCCTCAGAACTGTAATAATGAGTCTCACGTTTCTGTTCATTTATTGTATCTAGATTTGTGGTGCTACTTTCCTGTAGCAGAGCCACTTCTTCTGGGTTCTCCTCCTCCTCACCCGTGTATATAATTTGCGTTTCTTTAACCAGCTCATGTTCTTTTAATTCATCTTTCTCTTCTTCATGTGGTTCCTCAACAGATTCCAGGTTCTTTTCTTCTTCATGCTGTGCCATCTCTCCACTGCTCTCTCTGTCAATAACCTCTTTATTGCTTTTCAACTCTTCAGGCTTCACATATTGCTCTTCTGATTGTCCTGCTTTATCACTGGTTTCCTGTTCACAATTTTCCTTAATTTGCTCTAATTCGTCCTCTACAAGTGTCTCCTCATCTCCATCATCCTTAACTTTGAGTTCATTAGACGAATCTTCTGTATCCACAACATCCTGCTTTGTTTCAGTCACCTCCTCACTCATATCTTGCTTATCATTAAAATCGTCCTGGATGTCGTTAACCAGCTTAATTGTACTAGGCATTTCCTTATGACTTTCTTGGTCTCCTGGAGTATCTTGCATCTCATGATCTTTGTTTACCTCTGAATTCTCTGTCTCATTAACCTTTGAGTTATCTAATTCCTCAACGTGCATACTCTCTCCTTCATTCATTTGTAATTCTGTCTCTGATATTTCAAACTCTGAACCATTTTGAGTCAATTCATCCATCTGTGAGTCTGTGATATTTTCTGATATTAAGTCTATCTTTGCCAGTGTGATGCTGTGTTCCAACGGCAGCGAATCTTGTTCATAAATTGATTGAAAATCATAAGTGGATTCACTGTTACTCGAAATAGTCATGTCTTCACCTAGCTCTTCTGGATCCTTAAATTCAGCACTTTTAAACACATCTTCCTTGGAAGTTGCATCCAATGTATGCAACTTCTTGTGCTCTGGCTTTATCCTGTGATTACTTGCAAGGCTTTGTATGGCAATAGTTTCACTATTGTGATTATCATTTGATTCTTTTATATCTTTGCCTATTTGTGCAGCCTTCTCATCCATTACCTCTGGTTGTTTTATCTGTTCAAGTGGTGGCACATTGGGATGAGTGTCTGTGCTTTGTTCTGACACTGGTAAATCTTCTCTCCTGTTACCATTCTCCTTAGCTGCATCTTTTCGAAAGCCCAGCATGTCTGTGATACCAACATCAAACCAAGAATTTGACGTAGGTTCCAACTTTTTCTCAATTTCTTCAGATTTGCTTTCTCCTGAATCCTTATTATTCGAGCCAAAACCAAATGTACTTGAAATCCCATTACCAATCCATCCAAGTGTCCCGGTCTCTTTGCTCTCTTCTTCATTCAAATGGTTGTCTTCAAAATCTAGAGCAATTTTCCTACTCCTGAATGTCTCACCTGAATTGTCAACTTGAGCACTTTGGGCAGTGTCTTGCTCTTTCACTTCACTGCCAAAGTTGAGCCAGCCAGTCATTGTAGAGCCAAGATTACCAGAGGCTTCAGTGTCTTGAGATCCTGGTTCATTGCCACTTTCTTCATTATGTTTTGATCCCAACCCTAACCACTCTGTGACTGATGATGCAACAGATGATTCATCCATCTCCTTTGTCGTTTCTTCTTCAGGGTTAGTACTTGAATCATCTTTTTTTACAAGCCCCCATAGTCCAGTCACTGATGATCTGAGCCAGGAAGATGACCCAGACTGGTCTTTTGGAGTTTCAACTTTTTCTCCATCTTCATCTTGTTCACTTTTGTTTTTTCTGTGAATAGGTGTTTCATGTGAGTCCTCTGAAGGGCTTTCCAGTGTTGGTGGTGTTGTTTGAGTAACTTCTGGAAGAATTACTTTGTCAGTAGTATATGCATTATCCTCCTTTTCAGTTGTGTCGATTGGATAGCCATTCTCATCCATACAGAAGAAATCGGATTGCTGTTAAAAAAAATCACAACATTTTTACTTGAAATGTACTCACAAAAAAGTATAGCTTTTAGTTATGACAAACACAAAAGATACTTACTTGTGTTTCTAGTACTTTCTCAACCTTTGCATAAATTTCTTCTTCTTTAACTGCAGCTTTTGGAAAATATCCAAACCTTCTGTCAATCTGATAAAATATATTTGACACGTTAATTTAACCTGTATTAGTGTTGTGCAGATCGATTTACAAATTCTGTAAGTCCTTTCAGACTGTTTCATCCTAGTAACTAGGATTTCCAGTGTCGATTGTAGATATGTAAATTTTCAGTACGAAGTGATTGCTTGGGTAAAATATTTACAGCTGATGAAAAAAACAAAAACAGCTTTGTATCACTGTGGGCTCTGCATAAAAATGTTATTTGATTCACAGTGCAAATATGTGATTGTGATGTTGAAAATAAAGTAATACATATGTCTTAATTTGTAGACCTAATTCTTATTTTACATATATTTTGTCACTGTACATACACTGCCTGCCCAAAGATCCTCTCTCTTTCCGGTCAGTTTGTGGAATACAAAGATTGTATCTCCTTGTCTGAAGCTCAGGAAGCGACAGTCTTGACTGTAGTGATCCTCGAGAGCTTGCACTCTGCTCATTCGACCTACATAAAAGTAATTGGCAAAAACAATTGGCTTGTTATGTAAGAAAAAAACAAAAAACAAACAAACAACAAAAGTAATGAAAACTTGTTGGAGTACATTATACCTACTTTCACATTCTGCATCCCCACAGATCTTGTAGTCAGACAGCAATCCAGAAGTAAAGTGAGTTACAGTAAGGCCAATAATCCAGTAAAGCATGGAAGTAGCCATAATCTCAGTGAAAGGATTTCCTTAAGGAAAAGTGTCCATACTAAACAAATCCCCACTTTGGCCAGCTGTTGGAACAAATGGACATTGCCTCTCTGCAGCTCATGATGAGTCAATGGTGTGTGAGAGAGCACCAAGATAAGATAGGCCTAAGGCTAGTGTAATGGGGGTAATTATTAACCTAAAAAAAAAAAAAAAAAAAAAAAAAAAAAAAAAAACATCCTAAAAGGTATAATGCAAACTGTTTACATTTAAAATAAAAGGCCATTTTATTTGTATGAAAGAAAAGAAGTGGTCAAGTTATGAGTTTGGGGTCTCTTGTGTTAAATGTAAAGTCTAATTATTGTAAAAATGCATAAACCCCTGTAAGGTTATGTTGTTGTATTCCTCATTATGCCAGGATTCTTTGTTCCAAATTTCAGAAATATGTGACAGTCAATGTGACTATAGCAGCATTTTTAACAGACTCATATCATTTCACACAAAGTGGGTCCCACAGAAAGGGTTTTGGGGGTCCTCAAACAAAACAAAAAACAAACCAAAACCAAAAACCAAAAACCAAAAACCAAAAAATAAAAAATAAAAAATCAAAAACAAAAACAAAAACAAAAACAAAAACAAAAACAAAAACAAAAACAAAAACAAAAAAACAACAAATGTGTAATGTTGTCCCGATGTGGGCACGAATGAAAAGTCGTAGTAAGAAAAAGGTAGCAAAATAATCGCGGTGAAGGGGTCTGGCTCCGGGGCTATAATAAAATCGTTTAATCCACACAAGATACGTCGCTATGGTTACTGAAAGAAGCGGCGCATAACATTTACGTCATCGACCAGCGCACAAAAACAAAGATGGCTGCTCATTCACGTTTGTAGGTAAACTGTCTGCAAAAAGTGATTAATTTGATCAATATGAAGTCGGACGTCGAGGAGCTGATGCCAAGACTCCTGCCTGTGGAGTTTAGAGATATTAACGATGAGTTGGATTTAAATGGGCCCCCAAGAAATCCCCAAGAATATCTGCGACAAGTCCAGTACGGTCTATAAACTAAAATATTGTGCATTTTAACGTTTGTTTTACTATTACCTTCATCTTGTGGGTTACACTTATTATCTTTATTCCGCATAATTTGTCCCCTTTCTGTGTTAAGGTTGGAAGCGTCAATGTGCCCTGATGTGGTGGTAGCCCAGATCGATCCAAAGAAACTAACAAAGAAACAAACTGTCAGCGCATCGGTAGGTTTGCATACCTTCCCAGTAATGAAACACGCACGCACGCACGCACGCACACACACACACACACACACACAAACAATGAAGCTTTGCTCAGTTGTTCTCTGCTCTGCAAGGTTGCAAGCTGTCATTCAGCTCCTAAAGGATTTTCTCCGAGTCTCAGCTGGCAGCAGAAACAAGTTAGCACCTTCTCAGATGTCAGACAGGTGAATAACACAATACTTCTGGTAAACGTTTTATTTTGAAAGTTTCACTACAATAAGTATTATTTTTCAGAGCATTACCAAAAACAGGACACATTGGAGTAGCCAGTCGCTTGATGACAATGTGCAAATGGTAAGCATGTTTCCTTCAGAAACTTTTTTTCATTAAACATTTAATGTATTTATCTTGTTGTTGTACAGCCCAAAATTACTGATGAGGAGGGCTGGAGGAGGTTTTGTCTGGGGAGGAAAGTCTGTTTAGGAACATCTTCCAATGCCGAAGCAGAACCCACTCCTGAACTTGATTATAGTCAGGTAAAAAATCTCATCTCTCATAAAGTCAGTCATGTTTTCAAGGTCAATCAGAATATAAGCAAGCTGACTGTATTCTGACTAGGTGGGCTTCCCTCCATTCCTTAGCATTGTCAGCAGGCTCAACCAGGTACTTGTTTACTTGTATATTGCTATGTTTTATTCAGTCAAATGCCCATCTTAATGATCTATACATTTGTCAGTCAACAGTACTGGTGGTTCTAGACATTCTTATTAATTGGTTTGAAGAAAAAGACTTTGCCCCACAGCTGGTGAGTCGTTCACAACATTCAGTGACTTGTATGACATGGTATGATACAGAATACAATCTCCTTATATTGTAGGGTCGTTGGTTATATGCACTATTGGCCTGTTTGGAAAAGCCTCTAATACCTGAAGCCCACTCCTCTATTAGACAACTGGCGAGAAGATGTTCACACCTTCGAAGCACATTGGTAGAGAGCCAGCAATTCATACTATTATTGTTACAGAATAAAGAAATACTTTTTTTTTTTTTACAGGAGAGTCAAGATGACGAAAAACTACCTGCTCTAAATTTGCTTATTTGCCTTGTTGCCAGGTAATATTATGAACTATCTGACATGTGTGTGAAGAAAAGAAATTGAAATGTTTTCTTTTATTTCTGCAGATACTTCGAACAAAGTGACCTTGCAGACCAGCCAGAAACTGAAATCTGAAGACTTCAAAGTGACTTGTTTCATATTATAAACTGCGGCTAAACTATGGCACAGGGGCAAATGCAACTCTTGAGTTGCTGAATTGGCCAAAATGATCATAGCCATTACAAAACAAACTCGATTAACATTGTAATGTGTTACAGATCTAAAATTAATGCTCCAGGCCTTAATGGTGCAGTGCACTCTGCATGTTTCTTTATGCTGCCTTTGGTGACAAGTTTTGACAACCTTGCTGTTAATATCATTCTTCAATGTATATTATGGAAACTGTACCGATAGTTAGTTTCCTATTAAATAATTTCCTATGACTTGTTTTATAATAGGCGTTATATACTTCATTGTGGTTAAGTTATTGATGCAGATTAACATTTCAGCAACTAGATCCAGATCTTATGTGACTTACCTATATGTATTAAGAACTATCCCATTTGAAATCTGATTGCAACATACCAACAATACAAAAACATTTACCAGCACTTCCATCTTTAATTTGAAGCTGATAAATCAAATGGTACAAAAAGGGTCAAAAGAAAGAAAAAAACATGAGCAAATAACAAATGTACAAAGGTTGACATTCAACTGTGAATTGTGAAAATGGCAATGCCATGTACAGTATATTTGAGCAAATGTCTCTGGTACCATGTTTTAACTGGCAGAATAGCTAATCAAGATGAACACTGTTGAATCGTGGTTCCACTGAATCATGTCTAAGAAACTACCAGATCTCCCTGCCACGAGAAATCCTAATCCAAAAAGTCAGGACAAGATATTCCAACAAGGATTACTGGGATTCATTGACACAATTTGATTATTGGAAAAACAAAAATAAAATAACCAGTAATACTTAAAAAAAAATAATAAATCAGTTGCGTTATGTTTAAAATTTGAAGGTGAAAAATTTGTTTAAAATTTAATAGGTCAACTGAAGGCTTAGGTTACTATAGATGACACTTCAGCGCCTTTTATCTTTCCTATCTTTGTCTTTATGCTCCCTATCACCTCGGGAAGACCTACCCCTCCCCTCCTCGGACCTCCTCTTTCTTCTCTCCTTGGACCCCTTTGAGTCCCTTCCTCCACTTCTACTACCTCCCCTCTTCTTTCTGTCTCTGCTCTTCTCTGATGCCTTCCTCTTACGTTTTTCACTGTCACGACTACGGCTTCGGCTGCTGCTGTTTGAGGAGGAGGATGAGGAAGAAGATGAGGAGGAAGAGCGGCTGGATCCAGATGAAGAGGAGCTGCCGCTGGAGGAAGATCCAGAGGAGGAAGAGGAGCTCCTGCTGTGACTGCGGCTCTTTCTTGACTGCTTCTCCTTCTTCCTTCCTCTCCCAGCACTTTTCTCCTTCGTGTTCTCATCAGGAAGAGTTGCGTTTGTGGGTTCTGCAGTGCTCTCTGGTTCTACCTCCTGTGGTTGTACTTCTAAAACCTGGTTGTCAGCAACATCACTGGGTCCTTCTAGACCAGGTATGACAAAAAACTCCGACTGGGATTGAGCCTGTGGATTGGTGTCTGAGGAAGGCTCCTGGGTCTGAGCTGTAGCCTCAAGGAAATTGGGCTGCTCACATTTATTTTGGGCTTCTTGATAGGCAGCAGGCACTTCAGATGGAGAGACTGATGTCTCTTCATGCTGTAACTCACTATGCTCCATTTTATGTTCTGACTCTTCCCTTTCCTCATGCTCACAGACTGCTTCCATTTCTGAATCTGGACTAGCATCTTTGTTACCTACATCCTCCTGCTCCTTTCTACCCTCTGCTGTCTGCTCTTCATCTTTTTTCACCCCAGCTTCTGCCTCACTAACCTCCATTGCCTCTTCATCCCGTTTCACCTCTTCCTTCTCTTGTTCCCCTCCATCTGCCACATTATTCTTCCCCTCATCTATTTTCTTATCTGCCCCCTTCTGCATTTCTTCATCTTCCTCCTCTTCCTCCTCCTCTTCCTCCATCTCAGCTAGGCTCTTGTTACCCCTCACCTTGACTACCTGACCTGCTGGCTTACCCTCAGCTGTGTGGTCCATTCCTGCGGTCAATTTGGTGCCATCCTGGTCACGGTTTAGCTGGCGTCGTGGGCGAGATTCCATCTTGCTGATGTGTTCGGCAAATGCCTGACGTCTCTCTTCAAAAACATCTGTCCAAAACAATGAGGAATAATGAAGCCACTTTTTACTGAAGCAAATAACATTCAACTGTGAATTTTAATAGCTACAGACCATTAAGTTTTTTGGTGGAGTCCTCGAGGAGTTTCTGTGTTGCAGAGCACATTTTTCCAGGAAGGTAAAAAATATGAGGCTTTGTCTTAGTGCGTATAAATTTTACCAGGCGGTTATTGTGATTGGTCCACTCCTCTTGCTATGAAAAGAATAAAGATTTTAGACAAATGGATTTAAGTAGGCTAATGGCAACAGTGAACATGTTAATACGTACCAACTGAGCTAATTCAACTTTTTGTTCCAGCAATCTCAGCTCAGTCTGTTTGGCTCGTCTTTCTTCAAACAATTCTCTTTTTTCAGTCTCCACCTTTTTCCTCTCAGCTTCTGCCTGAACTTCGAGTTTTTGCTCAATTTCTGAGCGTCTCTTTTGCTGTTGCAAGTAATGCAGACATAAGTTGTGAATATAGAAGCAAAAAGTGAAAAGTGCTAACAACTACACTTACCTTATCTGTACAAACATTTGACTCTTGTTTAAATTTCTGCAGGGTCCCCATCAGCAGGCCAAACATACGCCGATTCCTTGACACAAAAAATGTATGGTCCATGGTCATTACTTGCCAACTGACCTAAAATAACTGGAATTGTAATCTGTATTACCTCTGTTTGCCTTTCTCATCCATGGTTTGGTCTTGAATGAGGTCTCGGCGTGTTCTCTCCTTGGAGGTAGCTACAACTGACGACTGCAACGCTGGCTGCACAATGAAGACATGCAATGTGAAAAAAGCAAAACTCCAAAATCTTTGAATAACAGCACTATATAGAAGAAATACCTTTTTGACATCGTCATCATCCTCAGCGTCGCTGTCGTGGCGCATTTCTCTCCGGGGCCTCGCGTCTCCTCCTCCTGCCAGCCTGAAATACACGCATTGAAATTTTACCCAACTAACTTTAGTAATGTAAAGCAAAAATAAAATTTATGTTGGTTCAAAAAGTATTTACCTCATGAGCGCTCCAGTTATGTCCCTCTGCTTGGCAGGGGGGCCACCTGTACCTATGTCGGAGAGACTGCGTCTGAAAATATAACAGCAATTATCCTCCAAAATATACAAGCATAACAGTCATATTTAATACCATAATTATTCAGTCCATCAGAATTCAGACTCATCTGTAGAGTACAGAGAGGACTAAGAAGATGGCGCCTACTCTACATAGTAGATTGCCTTTGTTAAAAATTAAAAAGAGGTTTGTTTACCTGAGTAGGTTGATTCCTCTGCCTCTACCTCCTCCAGGGCCTGCCATGGGGCCGCCCACCCGACGGAGTTGACCCGGTCTAAAAATAATAAAAGTAACAAGTGAAGATAGCATAAATAACACTTTTTAAAAGCTCATAAAAAGGCACGGATCTGACACATAGTCATAACAATCACACGCCGAACCATTTTTTAAAAACTCAACTACGTACAAATCGTCCGAAATGTATTTCTGCAGCATAACACAGTTAAAAGTATGTTTTGTATTATTGTTGGTAGCAATGTGGAAACGATGTGGGTTATAAAATGGGCTAAACAAAAAAGTTGGACTGCAACAAACACGTAACCCAAGGCCTGAGTGGCCTAGTCAGATAACGACGGTCAAATAAGAATAAGTTAAACTGCACAGAGTAAGCTACTACATGTCCATCATTGCTCATGCTACTCGAATATGTGCTAATATCTTTGTATAGAAAATACTGCCAAAAACAAATTACGTAGACACGACACAATACCAAAGGTGGGGGGGGGGGGCAGTGTTGGCTAACTAACGCTGGCTAACTCCGCGGCTATGGTATAATGTCACGCTGATCATGTCGGTGTTGCGTATGTACACGACACAACACAAAACCTGACACATCAAACAAAAAAAGATTACTAGTTTACCTTGATTCATTTGGGTCTCGTCCAGTCAATTTGCGAATATTATCGTCCACACTTTTCAGGCTTTCTTTCGCTTTTTCAAGCTGGTCCTGCAAGCTCCGCACCGCCACCGCCATCTTGCTTCTTGTTAGCGCCAGTCACGTGTGGGTGCTTCTTCTACTCCTCTTCTTCCCAAATTCCGGGGGCAGGCGGCGCTTTTATGCCCCCTGCAGCTGACAGTGTGTGTTGAAATAATTAATTCCTTTTAAAATAAGTTACATCATTTGATAGCTAGGAAGGTCACATTCCCCTCTTTCGGTTGTCGTCCTCCCACTGATTTAGAGAATGGCCAACTTTTCCATTAATGCCACATGAAGAATGTAAAAAGTCAAGAAGTCAAGTCTTTGTTCGTACTGGCCTTCAGGGCTGTAAAATGTTAGTGCCTATTTCTATTTTAATTATATGTGCATTAAATGATAAAAATAGAAAATCATATGGCGATATTGTGGTTCTCTCCTATGACATTAAAATTTCCCTGTCAGACCATCAACGTGTAACACTTTATCTTGAATTTGAGGTGGTCTACTCGAGGAACCGCAATACAGAGCTCACGTTTCAGTGGTTTCAATTAATTTTTTTCATGACACGTGTGTGAAGGGGTTGCTCCATCTTTATAGTGGTGCTGGTACATTGTTGGTGTGAGCCATGGTTGCTTATGTAGATAACATGCAGAAATAAAATGAGTCTTGGTAGATATACACTTTTATTCACAGACTAAAAGCATTCACTCCACATAGATTCAGATCAACATCTTGCAGGTTGAACCCTCACATGTCGTTGATTCATCAAACTTCACATGGAGGCAGTAGGCTATGTGATGTACAAACATAGATCAACTCTGCTAATAAAAATCTTCAATCCCCTGTAGGCACATTCATCTTAAAGGAAAAAAAAAAAAAAAAAAAAAAAGAACAGATAAACGGAACATTTGGGAAGATTCAGCTTTGATTTTATACAAGTTTAATGGAAACATTTATGCACACATTATTCTGATCACCAACTAAAAGCTCTTTAACAGATGAGTCAAAATGGTGAGAGTAATAACATTGATGAAACAGTTACCAGGTGTTGTCAGAAACATGGGTCAAAAATTAAATGTGTTCTCTTCAAAAATAATTTCCTCCTTACAAAAATTAAGTATAGCCCACTGTGATGAATTAATTTCAAAACTTAAACCAAAGAGGAAAGCTCTTAACATTAACATATAACATGGTAAAACTGT